TTCTGTAATCTTCCTGCTTTCACATGCTGAAAATTGTATTTATCTCGTTATTAGTAGATCGGTTTTTGTTATTAATCCATTGAGTATCATAGTGTTCTTGTTGTGCAGTCGAATTTTCTTTTCTTTTTTGTTTTAGTTTCTTTAAGTTTCTCTTTCTGTAATCTTTTATTTCTCTTTTCATTCTAGTTGGTATTTGACTTCGGCAGGTCTAGACACTACTGTTGGTAGGGTTTGTGAAAGGCCAAGCATCTGTATAGGTAGCTCATCTGTTTTATCAAGCATCAAAAGGATTTGAAGGTGGTTTTATCATGTGCCCCATGACATAATGACGTTTTAGGTCTTCAACCGGGCCCGATGAATGGACATCGAACACAAGTTCTTTGGTAGGTAGGAAACAAAAATTTGGAATCGAAGTCGCAATCTACCTATAAAATTACTTGAATGAAAGAGTTGAAGTGGCATGTAGTGCTAAACGGGGAGATTCATTTCTACCTATGTATTGTTATTGTCTTTTGTTTTAGTCAACAAAGTCAGTGGTACATAAACCAAATGTAAGCATGGCAAAAATCCCAGAACTCTTGAATTTCCTGTATGTATAGAAATTCAACCAAAAGCTGACATCAATGAATCACCTAACTCTTTTGTCTTCACATTCAGTTAAGAAAACAGTCTCTAAAGTTGATATCGGAAAGCTCTAAATAAAGGTGTGGTGGCGAAGTTTGCTCCTACTAAATCTTGCCGTTTATGTAGCAGGAGGAGATGGAAGAAAATGGCGCGGTCTGGAATAAGCGATGAAGTGCAGAATAATGAGGATGAAACATTATAGATAGACATTCAAAAGAGATTCTTAATTTAGAAAAAAAAAAGGCAATGAAATAATTATTTTTGAGAAAACTCGAGCTTAATATTGAATTGTGTATATGTATTCGATTTGATTAGGTCAATTTTAAAAATAATTCGATATTTGAAAATTTTAAATTAAACATATTAGAATCTCATTCCAAAAACATAATTAGAGTGCTATTTGTTTTTTTATATCACATAGACGTAATAGCGGAGAGAATATGCGATGATAACTAAAAATTTACAAAGGTTTACTATTAGACTTAGCCTAATTTGAAATACTTAATTTAACTATTTATTTAAAGTCTTAACGACCAAACCGATTTTTCTTGACTTATGAGATGAGGTTTTAATGAAATTATGCGTAGACTTAAAAAAAATTAATTTAAAAACAGAATTTTGAAGAACAACATTGAAAGAAAATTTTCAAAAACAAGATAACGAAGTTTTTAACCATGTTTAAATGAGATGAATTGTGAAACAAATGTACAAATTTTACACAGAAAAAAATTGTTTAGATCAATATGATGTACAACTTTTACATATATTATCTCTTATTTTTTAAAATATGCGTGACAAAGATATGTAATGTTATTATACATTACATTACATTTATAACAATAATTTTTAAATCTAAACATTATAATATACCAAATGACTATATTTAACTTTTTTTTGGTCTCCAAAGGGTCAAAAAAATTTTAGGCTTTTAAAATTTTTCATTTACAATATTTTAGATGAACTTTTGAGAAATAATTAAAAAATTGAAGTGTAAAAATTAAAATTTTCTTTTTTGAACTAAATTTAAAGCCTCTAAAGAGATTCTTTGAGATAATATTTTAGAATTTTTAATATTATTCATCTACTTATTTTTTATAAAATTTTTAAAAAAATCAAAAGAAAAAATATTATAATTTTCAAAGTAGAATAGATATGTAATCTATTTTTTAAAAAAAGATGTGCTAACGATATTTTATGAAAATAATATTATATGAATATCTCAATTAAAAGATGATACATTAAAAAA